CCCGGCGCGCCCCCGCCACCTCCCGGGCCCTGCCACCCGCCCTACGCCTCGGGTACCCCTCCCAGGCAGACACGGTCCATAAGGATGTGGCCCCCTAGCACAGAGGGTTGGAACGCAAACAGTCCTTTCCCCTTTGCTGCAAGGTGCATCAAAGCCTCCCTCCATGCTAGCCAAGGGCTGTTTAGGGGCAGAAGGGAACAGCGGGGATATGGGATGCAGAAGGGAGATAGACAGGCTCCAGGGAAGAGAAACAGCCCCACTAACAACCTAGGATGGAGTCTGAGCTAAGAATCTGCTCTGGAGGATTTACTAGAAACCAAGAAACTCGCTGTCCCAGGTCACCAACAGGGCCAGCAGGGTAGAATAGTGCGTGGTGCTTCTCAGGGATGACAGTGTCACAAACAAGGAGGTCTGGCACGGGCATCAACCCATGGACCAGGGGTGCCAGACCAGACACATAGAAACTGCCAGAGAAACATTTAGGGACAGGACCAGCCCTAAGGGGTGAGAAGTGTCACCTGACTGAAGTGTAGAAAGGATCAAAGCCTCTCCAAGTATCCAGATACAGGAGAAACACAACTACCCAGGAAAGGTCAGAGCTCAAACCTGCCCCACACCCTGCAGATGCTGGTGTTTCACCCCTCCACAGGATGCTGCTGGACTGAGAGCAGGACACAAGCAAGGATCGTGCTGTGACAGCGACCAGCATCAGGGCCAACATGCCCCAAACCTGGGAGGTGCTGCTAATAGCTGGGTTACCTTGAGGAGTACATGTGGAGCTGGGTCCCTGCCCCGTACAGCCCCCTGTGACCCTGCCCCTTCCCTCAGAAGCAAGTGTCAGGGACTGGACATGAAGGAGCATCTCCCACTGCAGCACACATGGAAGGAACCTGTCAGCCAGCAGCAAACCCTCGCCAGATCTGACACCTGAGAGATCTTTATTCAGCGTGTAAAAACGGTTCTTTAAAAAGCAGGTTGACCCAGAACCTCCCCCAAATCACAAATAGGCATCCCACCATAAGTGTAGCTGAGGATGCAGCCTGGGTCCCAGTTTCACACTTCCAAGTGTATAAAAATCATCAAATTGTGAGTAAAGAAAAGCAAATACACTAGAAACAGTGAAACTCTGTGCCCCACCATTAGCTTTACATCCATCTGCTAGGGAAGGAGCCAGAACGGGGTGTTCCAGAGCCAGGGAGAGGGGGTACATAGAGTAGAGGTCCAGGACAGCTAAAAGGCACAGGGCAAGGATCACCTCCTCCACTCCTGACTGAACAGGGATGGGGGTGAGGAGGCATACCAGCAGCATCCATCCAATTTTGGGATCAACCTCCCAGGGTTGTGTGAAAGGAGACACCCCAGTGCTGGGAGCAGTCCCTGCTTCCCAAAAACTTACAACAGAAAATAAAATGAAATAAAAACAAAGCAGCAAACGTTGAGGTCCTGGCAAGAGGTGTCCGAAGTAAAGGCCATCCAGGGAAAGAAGTCCCAGTGAGTACCTGTAGGAAGAACCAGACTGAGACCAGCAGCCTGCCACAGCAGGGCAGCTTCCACCCATGCTTGTTCCACTGGTGTCACAGCCAACCCGACCCTTCCTCTGAGGCTGCCCGGCCCCTCACCTTGCCTGGAGATAAGTCACTGCTTCTTCCTCTACTTCTTGGCTGGCATGATAGGAGCGAGCTCCTCTTCCTCGTCTTCCTCAAACAAGTCGTCATCATCATCCTCAAAGGAAATATCTTCCCTGTGCACTGGGACACACAATTAACTGTTACTCACCAGTGTATGTCTTTGCAAACACAACTGGCCCCCACGACACTCCAAGAGCAGAGCAGCCCAAAGAGCAGTTTAATCAGCAGCTTGTGGGCAATAAGCTGTATACCAGCTGGAGGGAAGTCTTGAAGGGGAATAGTGACAGTCAGCTGTGGGAATAGGGGACAGTGTGGGTCACCCAGATCCTTCTTCCCATGTAAAGCTCTAGGACAGGGAAGCAATCCCTGCACGGAGATGGCCCCTGGGGAACCAGCACAAAGGAGGACCTGAGCACATGTGCTGGGCAGCACAGCTCTGAGGGGTTTCCCGGCCACTGTCCATGCTGGAGGGAGCCCCTCCATACCCCTGACTCCTCCCAAGCCTTTCCCCACCCAAGTCCTTACTGATCCTGTGCCAGCCGGCGAGGTGTACTGGGCCAGAGCCTGCGGCCAGGCGGAAGGTCACTGGAGGCTGCAGCTTGAAGTTGTCCAGACTCAGCTGTAAAGAGGCAGAGATGGAGCAGAGTTAGGGGCAGAGGCAAAAAGCCAAACGTCCTGTGGCACCTGGCTCAGTTAAATGTGTCCTCTTGAGGGCATCTGCAGCCAGGCCAAGGCTACCCAGGCCTTTTCCCTGTGAGCTACAGACCAACTCATGGTCAGGATCCTAGGGGAAAGGTCCACAAACATCCAGAGATGTCCAGTTCACTGCAGCCTTCCCCAGCTGAGTCTTCAAAATGACCTCTTACCAAAGGCTGGCATGACAGCTTCAGATTTGCCACAGGCACAGCGATCTCCTGGTTCTCGTGGTTTCGCCCGACAACCTCCACCACATTGCACTCATCCTTGGCACCATCCGTGAGGCAGACCTGGGTAGGAGATCATGAATTAGTCTCTCCTAGAGGACACCGCAAGGACAGCCAGGGCTCTCCATGGGACAAGCGACCCAGAGCAATGCTACTATCTCAGCTGTCATGCAAGGTGTGAGGATGCTGCTCCACAAAACAGGGAGAGCATGTAGTTCCCCGCTGTGCAGCAATTACCTCCCTACTGCCTCTGGAGGGACTCTGTGCCTTTCCCAGCTGGGACTGTTCCTGCAACCACCTCAAGAGATGGCATATGAGTTGCATTTTCTGCTGATGTGACCCATGTTGGCAGGTCCTGTGCTCCCAGGACACAAAGTGACCCGCAGGGAGAGGCAGGAATGAAGCCCTACATCTACCTGGACTTGGAGAGTAACAGGACAGAGACCCAGCTGGTGAGGGGGTCATGTTCCAGTGGAAGGCTCCAGCAAGGTCAAATACAAGGAAAAAATACTTTCCTTCACCTCTTGTCCTGAGTATTCCTCTGCTGAGCAGCCTCTTGATGCCCCTAACTTTGCTCAAACACCTCCATAAATGTGACAGTCCCCCATCCTGCTTTGAGAGCAGCCAATGTTGAGACCTCAGCCAAGGGAGTCCCCTGGTACCAGCTTGGCCAGGGAAGGGAGAATGAGCCTGGGAAGAGGGGGCGAGGCTGCAGAAAACCATGAGAGAGGACAAGTACAGTTAATTCTTTCTCTTACCACAGACAAGGCCAAAATGTGGTCAGAGTCATCTTCCTCATCCACCTGAAATGTGTAGGATTTGGTACTGGCAGTCAGCTCACAGCCTGAAAAGCGATCAGACAAGCTACAGCAGCCATTGTGCATCCCCAAGTGCCATGGGCAAAGGGATCCCAGGGCAAACCCTAGCTGCACCCCTAAAACACTCATGCTCAAAAGCAGACTCAGGCCAGGGCACCCTGAGCTCCAGGATTAAGTGTCCTCAAGAACTATGCACCCAGCTCAGTACTATATAGGGACAAAACCTGCTGTCCCCAGGGCATCCAAGGCCTCCAGACAAAGGCAGGGCAAGGTTCACGCCCTCCAGAGAGCCACACAGCCAGTGCACACTGCTCTCGGCAACAGGAAAGGGCGCACACGGAAAGGCAAAGGCAGCTCTGCTTTCCCCAGCATCACTGAAATATTTGCTCTGGTGAGAGTCTGGAGGCAAAGACACAA